GCCCGCGTGAAGAGCGGAGCGCTCTGGCAGAGCGTGCGTGCCCCGGCACCGAGCCCCGGGCCGCCACGCCGAGCTCCGCCCCCCGCCCTTGCTTCGCGTTTCGTCCTCACTTGAGGCAGTGTCACTAAGTGGCTGACTCCCCCAAGCTGGGCTGAGACATGCGATCCTCCTGCCTCAGCTTCCCAGAGTGCGTGAACCACCACACCTGGTCGGCTGGAGCGGTTAACTAACCGAGAGAGTAAATCAGACAAACCGTGGCGGAAAATGCAAGGGGGAAAAGACCAGTGGTAGAAGACAAACATGTCTTGCGGCTGTGTCGGGAAAGGGTGACGTCGAGAAAGAGCGCTGTCACAGGCCGGGTGTGCGCGCCTCGGCCCGCAGGCTGTGCGGTGATGGGAGGGAGAACTCGAAACGCTCTAATGCTTCCTCTAGGAGATGAAAAACTCAGAACATTTTTCTCTCTCAGATTTGAGAGTTCTGAAAATTTACATGTCCTTTTCAGTTCATGACTTTTGAGGCAGGAAGAAACCTCTTTAAATCTTTAAAAATAAAAGTTTGCTATCCATGGCAGAAGAAAAACTGCATTGTCTTTCGCTACTTGATATGGAAGACGATGTTTCAAAATCCATGTCTTGTGAAGAACCAGTTTTCAGCCAGAAGTGCAGGGGGAGCATATTGTACAGTAAGTGCCCAATTTACAACCAAGTTCCGACCCAGGAGAACCTTCCTAAGTGGGATTTCAAATCCAACAAGGTGATTACACACCTTTGACACAAAGATGCAATGAAAAGCATATACCAAATGCGAGGTCCGTTCAGATCTGTGAATGTTCGCAGCTCGAATGTTTGTAAGTCGGACTTATTTTCTCATTCTGAAGAAACACTTGAGCAGGTGTGGTGCCAAGTATCTGTAATCCCTGCACTGAGGGAGGCTGAGGCAGGAGGATGGTTGTGAGTTCGAGACCAGCCTGAGCTACAAAAGAAAAGAAAGAAATGCAGTACTTGGCCAGGGGGGTGGAGCTGAGTGGCAGAGTGCTCGCTGAGCATGCTCAAGGCCCTGGGTTCAATTGCCGGTGCCGTCAAAAATTAAAAAAAACTTGTTTTCAAATCTGAACTTATATTTTTCCTTTTTTTCTTTTTTTTTTTTTTTTTTTTTTTTTTTTTTTTTTTTTTTGCGGTATTGGGGATCGAACTCACGACTTGGCGCTTGCCAAGCAGGTGTTTTATGCCACCGAGCTGTATCCCCAGCCCTGAACTTACACATTTCTGAAAGAAGTCATCCCAGCAATGTATGAGCTTTGGATCCCCTCAAATTTGTGTGCGCCCCTACCTGCCCAGGTGTTTCTGAGCTGGGGGAATAAGCAGCTGCTTCCGGGAAGAGGGAGGAAAGGAGTTTTCCAGAGGTCAGGCTCGGCGGAAGGCCTTAGCTGAGTGTGGGCTGAGGCAGGCGTGTTCCTGCGCCGACACTCCGCAGCGCCACGTCCTCACCTCCTCGCCTCTCTGCTGCCGCAGGTCTTCTCGTGGGCACCCTGGATGTGGTGCTGGACTCCAGCGCCCGCGTGGCCCCCTACCGCATCCTCCACCAGACCCAGGACTCGCAAGTCTACTGGACCGTGGCATGCGGTAGGTGCCCTGAGTTAAAGCCGCGCCTGGGATGTCGAGGGGACCCCAGCCCCTCATAAGCACTGCGGGGCTCAGCCTGGACTCCGCTGGTCCGCACCTCACGCCATGTTTTCTCCAGGGATTCTCATTTTCCAGTTTGTCCGCTGGCTCACATGTCACTGTAACTCGGGTCAGTGCTGAGCCCCGCCCTGCTTGTGTTTCTGTGATGTGACCCAGGTTAGTCCCCACGGTGCAGGTCTGTGGCTGAGTTTTAGGTCAAGAGCAGGAGTCCTTCCCACGGCACATTTAGTGATGAGTTCCTGTATCTTTGTGCTTTTTGATGATGGCCTCACTAATTAAAGTGGTCCCCACACAGAGCACTGAGGCACTGTCGCCCCTGCCTGAGCACAGGGAGCCTGGGCATGCCTCACAAAGAGTGTGTGTTAGGGCAGCTTCCTCCAGGAGGAGCCATGGTGCCGCAGACCAAGCTCAGTGCTGGTGGAGCAACAATGGATATTAAATAAGCCGTCTTTAAACTGAGGCACAAGCACTCTGGGAAGCTGAGGCAGGAGGATCACAAGTTTGAGCCCAGTTTTCACAATCTTGCAAGACTTTATCTTGCTGAACATGGCGGCACACACCTGTAGTCCCAGCACTTGGGAGTCTGAGGCAGGAAGATTGCCACAAGTGTGAGGCCAGCCTGGACTACATTATGAGTTCAAGGCCAGCCTGAGCTTTATAGGCCCTGTCTCAAAAAACGAACAGAAAACACACAGAGACCTTATCTCAAAATAAAATATTTAAAATGGGTTAGGGATATAGCCTGTTTGAATATCTTGGGTTTAATCCTCAGTACCATTAAACAAAACAAGGACATCCACAGCGAAGTTAATGGGTTGACCATTTGATGAAAACATTGGGGTCAGAGGCAGTAGGAACCTAACCCTGTATTTCTGCTGAGGCGGTGGTTCTGCCTTCCCTGATTCAGTGTCATGGGACTGACTGAACTGTCCAGAGTAATGGGAACCCAAGAGGTTGGCCAGAGGAAGCAGAGCCACGCTCCTCCAGGGTGGGAGGAAGCTCCCTACAAGGCCCAGCATAGCCGTGCTCGCAACAGCGCTCTGTGCCAGCATTTCCCAAGCCTCCAGAGAGGTCCTTTGGTCCCCTCTGCTTCGAATGTGAGGAGGCTGCGGCCCAGCGGGACTAGTCACACACAGCCCCAGCTCAGTCCAGAGCACCTGCCACCAGCCCAGCACCAAAGGCCTCCGAGCAGGAGCTGCAGTGCCACTGAGCTGCACGCGACCTCCTGCTAGGCCGGGAAGAGGGTGATGAGGCTGAACTGACTCTCCAGGCAGCCCCCCAGCTCGGGCAGTGGGGCGGGCTGAGGGGATCAAAGCGGCCGAACAGCATAGTGTTGGCATGGGCACTGTCTGCTCTCCCAGCAGTGATCTGTGAGAGTGGATGGACTGAGTAGGGTTCACAAGGTGAGGACCAGTGCAGAGGTCCAGGAGGACTGGCTTCCCGGGCCAGAGCCTGAGTGGGAGGGTGTGCCTGCCAGGCCCAGGCGCTGAGGGCTGGAGACCGAAGGCTGGTGTGTGCCTTTCCATTGTTGTTTCTTCTTTTCCTCTTTTATATTTAGTTATTTATTTGTTTATTTTTTGATGGTGGGGTTTGAACACAGGACCTTTGCATTGAGTTACATCCCATCCCTGGCCCTTTTTATTTTTTGAGACAGGGTCTCGCTAAATCCTTAATTGCCCAGGCTGAGCTAGAACCTGCCATCCTCCTGCCTCCACCTCCCAGAGTGCTGAGATCACAGATGTGTGCCTCTACACCCAGCTGAGAGGGGTTATGTTAACACAAGCCCTGGGGTGGTCCTGGCTCAGTTGTGTCCATTCTCCGGAAGCAGATGGGCAGGGGGAGCGGGCGCAGTCCCAGGGAGGGGGAGAAGAGCGTGCATTGCAGGCTGGGTCCCTTTTGGTGACCTGTGCTAGATACAGGCGCCCTACTACCAACCCCACCTGACCTCCCAGACCACAGCCTGCCTTGGCCTCTGCCCATGGCCCATCCCCCCATCTGGGCTGGGCCCCAGAAGCAGCTCCCCAAAACCAGACGTTGTCCTGCCAGCACTGCCCAGTCAGTGAATAGCAGCACCTTAGCTGGCATTTGAGGAGTCCAGAGACCACCTGCCTGCATTGCCGGCCTCCTCACCCCAGCTCACACCCTGGCCGCAGACAGGCCACGTGCTGCAGGACCTGCATTTCCTACCTGTGCACCTCCCCAGGGATGCATGGCCCCACCTCGCTTCCTTGTTGGGAGAGAGCGTGCCCGGATGTCCCTGAGGGCCTGGGCCTCCTGCTTTCTCCAGCAGTGTGGGCACACAGACGTCTCTCAGGCCGGAAGCAGCCAAGGGCAAGGCTAGGCTCTGGCCAGGTGGCCAGGCAGGCATTCCAGTTTGGTCACGCTCTGCTGTGTAACCCTGGATAATGGACTTAAACTCTGTGTCTCAGGCTCATCCTGTAAAGTGAAAATAATGGTGTCTGCCTCCAAGGATTGAAATAACCCACAGGAACCTCTGAGAATAAGAGTAGCAGTTAGTAACCTAATAACCTTTTTATTCCCGCTACCTAACAGATGGCGTAGGTTAATATTAAATGAAGATTGAGTTACTCTTAATAAAAATTCTTGGGCCAGGGACGTAGCTCAGTGGCACAGCACCTGCCTGGCAAGCATAAGGTCCTGAGTTTGCTTCCCAGTACCAAAAAAATAATAATAATAATAATAATTCTTATAAATGCACATACATAAACATATTTTTGGCATAAACATTTATAATTAAAATGCAGCAGACAAACAGCATGAAGAAGGTGGCTTCTGTTTAGATTGGTTGGAAAGTGTGTAAAAGGAAATGACATGGTAGAGCTGTACTGTGTGAGTATTTAACTTCTGAATTCAATTTGTGGCTTCTTGGCGAAAAGGCAGATAAAAATTCCCCTACCAACTAGACCTTGGTCTCTACATAACAGAGTAAAAAGACTATTTTTTAAAAATAGAAAATAAAAATAATCATTTAAGAGACTTTCAGGGAAAAAATTTTTTCAGTACTAGAGATGAAACTCAAGGCTGCTCTACCACTAAGCTACATCTCCAGTCTGTTTTAGTTTTTATTTTGAGGCAAGGTCTTGACTAAATTGCCCAGGTGGGACACCAACTTAGGATCCTCCTGCCTCAGGCTTCCAGAGTGCTGGAATCACAGGCATGTGTCACCATGCCTGGCTTCCAGGGAAATTCTGATTGCCTGTTGAGACTTACTATGAGTTGTGTAATTGTGGGACAGTCATTTTCATGTGGCCATCCTCCCACAGGCCCTCAGGGATGATCTTTCCGGTGGAATTGCTTATTGAGCTGGTGAACTACTTGAGCAGATAACATGACACAAACAGCCCTAACCAAGACTGGCCAGGCTGTGACCGAGTGACAAGTGGTACTGAGGGCTGGAGAGGTGGCAGGGGCAAAGCCCAGCCACGGAAGGGTCAGTGCCATGACAGCTGGTACAAGAGTGTTGCCATAGCGGAGGCAGCATAGCTGGAGGTTAGGTGCCCTGCAGAAATGCCTGCTTCGAGTTTGTGCATGGCGCTCAGTGGTAGAGCATGGGCCTCACATGCGTGAGGCCTGGGTTCCGTGTAGTCTAGTTTACTGTCATGTATTTCTTGACCAAGGCTCCCTGCACGCCAGGTGCATGGGCCTGTGCGTGCCACAAGTAACTGGCCAGCAGGCAGCCACAGGCCAGCCAGGAAGGACAGCCAGTTGTCCCCGCTTCTCGAGCTCCATGGCAGATACAAGCGAATCTCCAAAAACTGTAGTGTGGAGGGCCAGGACAGGCTGGAAACTTCGCTCGACTTCACTCAGTCTTTGCTCCCCTCCCAACCCCTTGATGACAGCGAGCAAGCCACCCCCTACTGGGGAGTGGCACTGTGCTGCCTTCTCAAAGTTTCTCCATCTCCCCTGGGCCTGGAGGACTCTCAACAGCCCCCTGCAGAGGACAGGGACGCCCTCCTAGGTAGGGCAGAAAGAGGGGAGCAGCTCAGCAGGGAAGCTGAGAGGGTGGCAGTTTCCACCTGCCCGGCAGAGCCCAGCTGCCCAGGAGAACGGCACCCTGCAGGGGGCTTGTCTGACCTGCGTCGGCACACAGCCTCGCAGGAGAGAGCTGGAGCCACCTCTGCAAAGTCTGACGGTGCTGGATTAGTCACCTCCACAGTGAAGCACACGTAAGTTCTTTCAGCCAGAAGCAAAGCCTTGAAGGTGTCCAGACTGTCCAGGTCAGAGGACACTTAGCAGCTGCTGACATCGTCACTCTTGGCATCAGGGAGGGGTGGAGGCTTTGCCTCCCTGATAGCACTGAGATTCAGTCTTTCTTGTTTCACCAGGAACATGTATATGAATTTTGTTATATACATATAATGTTTAAGAAGAAAAAGATTAGCCGGGCATGATGGCACACATCTGTAATCCCAGCTACTTGGGAGGCTGAGGAAGGAGGATTGCAAGTGTCAAACCATTCTGAGCAGTTCAGACCATGCCTCAAATCTAAAATGAAAAGCAGGAGGAGATTCCTAAACAGTTTAAAGAGTATGGTTTCGCAAACACAACAAGACAGGTCACCCATCGTAATCTCTTCTTTCGTTTGTGTTTAAGACTTGTTGGTTTCATGAGTTTCCTTTATGTCACCAAACCGCTCGTAGGTTCTTCCCGTAAAGAGATCACAAAGCACTGGGAGTGGCTGGAAAACAACTTGCTGCAGACACTGTCCATCTTTGACAATGAGGAAGACATCACCACCTTCGTCAAGGGCAAGATTCATGTAAGGTTCCCTCCACCAGCCGTTCCCACTCCTCAGCCTGCGTGTCGCATGCATTCGGCTGACTGCGGCCACACATATTTGGGGGAAGAATCGCATGCGTGCTGAACAGTACCGACTGCTTTCTTGTGACTCTCTAGACAGTGGCGGTTTCCATGGCATTTACATTACAGTACTGTGAATAACCTCAGTGTGTATAGGTCACAACACAGACAGTATATCCTGTATGTAAAGGACTTGCTATCTGGGAATTCTGGGGCCTGTGGGGACCCTAGAACCCATCCCTGTGGATACCAACAGATGCATGGAGAGTCTCAGTTCATCTTCAGACAGCTTGATGCAGGTTTCACTCCCATTTTGCAGGGATGGAAGCTGTGGTGTCTGCTTGCTGTCTTAGAATTGGAAGGCGGTTGCACTCATTCCTGTTGCTGTGGTTGGACCTAGAACATCCCCAGGCCCCTGTGTCTCAGGCTTGGCCCCCAGCCCCAGCACTGTGGGAGGTGGGGGAGCTTTGGAGAGGGGCCCCTGGGAGGGAGGCGGTGGTACCTTTCTCTGTGCTTTCCAACTCCCATGACGTGAAGAGCCTGTACCCCACACATTCCCCCCATGAGGCAGCACCACCAGGGGCCCACAGACCACAGGCTAGAACCAGCGCTGCTTCCCTGTAAATGAATACCTCAGCACTTCTCAGAGTGGCAGAAAGTGGAGCACAGGTCCGGCAGGCCTGCCTCTCCTGACCGAGAGCTGAAGGCTGAAGCTTAGCTTGGAGTTTAGGTTCTTGGAAAGTGACTTAGACACAGGTGTGTTTTCCAGGGCCTCTGCTGACAGAAGAGGGTGGAAATGAAAGACTGTGATAAAGGAATATTTTATTCTAAAACTAATATGGTTTTAATTTTTGTTTTGTTTTTGAGAGAGGGTCTCACTTACATAGTTCAGGCTAGTCTTGAACTCACTGTGTAGCCCAGGCTGGCCTCAAACTAACAACAATCCTCCTTCCTCAACCTCCCGAATGCTGGGATTGTAGCATGTGCCACCAAGCCCAGGGAAAACTGGTGTTATTTTAAAAGACACATTCCCTTCACCCAGCAATTCTTTTCCTTGGAATCTACCCTGTAGTATGTTTCTATGTGCAGGACCACAACGCCTGTGTTGAGATGCTTCTTGCAGCACGTGTTAGCAGAACACCTGAGACAGTGCCTCCTGGTCCCCTGATAAGCGGGGAAGCAGCTGTTCTCAGCTCTGCAGAGGGGAACGTGATAGTGACTGGCACGAGTTGCATCCTTTCTGTCTGCTTAGTCTGCAGAATGCTTCATTTCCAGGAGACTTGTTAATTGTATGAGGTGTGCTTCCAAGAATATTTGCAGACATCAGAATGATGAAAAGGTGGCAGTGTCTAAGAACCCGCCTACGAGTTTATCCCAAGGGGAGGGGGCAAGGATGAAAGACAGAAAGGCACCGAAGTCATCTGGAATGCAGAAGCCAAGCGGCTCCTTGCCTCTAGTGGACAAAAGAGCGCCAGGCATCTGGCACACCTCACTTTTATTAACCTGGGCACAGGAGCACGCAGTTAGGGTAGCAGAAGATTCACCTGCCTCCTGTGATCTATAGCATATGCCCAGATGAACAACCAGATCCCAGCTGTGTTGACGCATTCCCTGGAACTGGCTAGCAGGCCTGCATGTTGCCAAAGGAACACAGCCTGCTGTTTTTCTCCTTTGTGCACACAGAGAAGGGTCAGTTAGGCCTCGGTCCTCAGTCTCTGGTCTGCGTCTCCCCGTTTTTGTTGTAGTGATAGCAGCAGCAGAAGCAAAGTGAAGCGAAGCACAGTGGCGCCTGTTCCCTGTGTTGCCGCTCTCCTCTCCAGAGGTAGTCTGCAGACTATGGACAAAGCAGTGAGACAAATCATCAAGAGTCCCAGCAATCCTTACACGCTGTGATATTAATCCCAGCAGCAAGGAGATTACCAAACATTCTGTGCAGGCCTTGACAGTGGACAAGTCTTTCTGCTTCCTTCTGTTGTGATCTGGGAGAAGGCTCTCTCTGGTGAGGAGAGCAGGGACACGTTACTGCACAGGTGTATCCCATGGAGGACTCTGCCAGGGTTGCGTGCTCCTAGAGGGCACTCACACCCTCTGTCCGTTTCTTGCAACAACACAAGCAAACCCCACCACCACCAGCAGAGTAACTGGTCCCTTCATCTGCTAGTGTTACTGCAGGTAACCAGAATCACTCACGGAGGCCAAAAATAGGAACAAGCAGGGTTGGATTTAGTGCACGCAGCTGATACCCCACCCCAGCTGTTGCTTGTCAGAGGCATCCACCCCAGGGATAGGGAGACAGCGGATTATATAGTAGTTGATCCAGTTTCTAAAAAGAGCAGGGTAGGAGCTGGGGTTTAGCTCAGTGGCAGAGCGACTGCCTGGCAAGCGGAAGGTCGTGAGTTTGATTCCTGGTACTGGAAGAAAAACATAAAAATAAAAATGGGGTATTTCCAGAAAAGTGCAGTGCAGAGTTTATCTGATCACATGGTGGTCGTCTTAGTCATGGGGTCAGCACAGCATTTGTCAGAAACAGCATTTTATCAAAGTAGCACTGCTTACAAGTGGAAACTGCTTAGTGCAGGGTAAGAGTGAGCATGTGATTTTGGAGAACAAGAGTGAGTTCCTCTGAGGTTTAAAGAGTTCTAAAGTGGAGTTTGGCACGGAATGGGGTCTCTGCTGCCACACCAGGATCGCCGTAACACTTGTGCTTTCTGCCTTCCCCGTGCTCTTGTACTTGCGGCCAGTGGGATTCCACGGGGTGCTGTCTGTATCACCAACAGGGTCCAAACAATTACACGTAAATGTTTCAAGATCAAGGCGAGTTTGTGGCTTATTATGTCTGACTCCCCCTTTTTGTTTTTGTAATTGTCCTTTTAGCGTTAAATGTGCATGCGCGACAGTTCCTTGTCCTTGAGGATTGTAAGGAATTCCAGTGGAATGAATAACATCCTTCTGTTGTAAGAACATCTAAAAGCTGTTGCTTGTGCAGGCAGGACCATTCTATGTTTTCATTGTCTTAGGGACTCCCATTTTTGCAAATGCCGAGAGATAATGTTGCTGTGTATGCCCTGCAGTCTCTCCTGTATGGCAGGTAGCATGTATAAAATGAGAGTAACTATCTGTATTGAGCTGCACGTACTGAAGTCTGCCAGATTGGGATATATGCGTTACATCCATTCGCTACAGCTCACTCGCCCTGAGGCCTCAGGTATTACAGCCTTCTGACGGAATTGATATAGGTAAAATCTGGCATGTTGGACAAGATTGTACAATATAGTGTGCCTGTGATATGGGAGTTAGACCCAGGGCTTTCACACTGGACTATATTCCCAGTGCGCCCCCCACTTTCTTCCTTTTTGAGACAGGGCTTGACTAAGTCACTAAGCTACCCAGACTGGGCTTAAACCTCCAGTTCCTGGGCCTCAGCCTCCCAGAGTGCTGGATTCCAGGCATAAAATACCACACCCTGCTCCTGTTCTTCATTCTCTGTCGCCTCCAGCAGCACAGCATCTTGAGGTTCATCAGTTACTCCCTGTCCTGCCCTCCCTTCTGTTCTCACCTCCCTATGACTCTGAACTCTTCACTGGGATGCATTGTTCAACCTGCTACATGACCTAACGGTTAAATAAGAAAACCTGAATAAGCTTAAAACTTTGGGGTTAATGTAGGTGTTTTGAGACAGGATCTCATTATGTAGCCCAGGCTGGCCTCAAACTCACAGGCGGTCTGCTTCAGCATCTGAGTGCTAGGATTATTATAGGTGCGCACCACCATGTCCAGTTGAAAAGGATTAAAGAAACTCAGTCAGAAATTTAATATCCTGCCAGTGATATTTTTACAGATGAGTTCTATCTTTGACAAACAGAAAATTCTAACCCCATGATCCATACTGGTTATGAAAAGGTCAAAAATAGGGTGAATGTAACTGGGTGTGGTGGTGCATACCTGTACTCCCAGCATGGTGGGAGGCTGAGACAGGATTGCAAGTTCCGGCTAAGGCTGGGCAATTGAGTGACTTAGCAAGACCTTGTCTCAAGATAAAATATAAGTGTGAAGTCCCTAGTACCACTAAGTAAGTAAGTAAATAAATAAATAAAATGTTTAAATTATTTTTGAAAACTATTATAGTGAAACGCACTGGTCTTTTGGGGCTCTGGGTCTTGGAGGTTCCAGTTCACAACAGTGCCCTGGATGGCCTGTGTGAAGCCGCACAGCCCTCAGGGATGGGGACAGCAGGGCTGCCTTGCCATCCTCCAGGAGCAGTGGGGACAGAGGGAGCCATGGGCTGGGTCCCCAACCAAGACAGCCCGAGGCCCTGAAGGTCACACGGGCCTCAGGGACACAGCGGACAGAGCAGGTGGTTCCCTGCTCCGGAGGATGGGAAGGAGGGGCAGCAGAAAGGAAGCGAGACTTCCTCCAAGCAGGAAGAAAAGTACTGTTCCTCCAACTCCTAGGTTCTTGACTGGAGCTCTGTACCAAAAGACAAATTTGACATGAGAAAAAGAAACTGAAGCTTGTGAACATGACATAGCTCACAGTAGCTGGGAGACTGGGGGAGCGCCTGGATGGCTGGTTGGAACCGGGCTTTATGTGGCACCCACCCAGCAACAGGGTGTGGGGAGAGAAACGGCAGGGTGAAGGCAGCCAGGCTTGGGCTTCCACAGGGAGGACACTGGGGAGGTCCATTCGTGCCTTTTTCCCAGATGCCCTCTGTGTCACCTCTTCCAAGGAGATCCCGGAGCCTTCCCTCGCAGTAGTCCAGGAGCCTGCTCATCGTTGCACAGGCGGCTTCTGTCACCTGTGCTCCTTGATGCAGACCACCCCGAGAGGCTGCTCCTCCACCTGTGCTCAGGCCCTCGAGCCAGAACCCTAGAGTCTCGGCCTCCCTCTAACGTGCCCAGGACTGTTGTCTCCTGCAGGGCATCATTGCAGAGGAGAACAAGAGCCTTCAGCCCCAGGGAGATGAGGACCCTGGGAAGTTCAAGGAGGCCGAGCTGAAGATGCGGAAGCAGTTTGGGATGCCGGAGGGCGAGAAGTTGGTCAACTACTACTCCTGCAGCTACTGGAAGGGCCGTGTGCCCCGGCAGGGCTGGCTCTACCTCACTGTCAACCACCTGTGTTTCTACTCCTTCCTGCTGGGAAAGGAAGGTGAGCACAGCCAGGCAAGCGGAGGCGGCCAGGTGCATTGTCCCTCTTGCCTTGCGATTCAGATGCCTTCCTCCGGCTGCACCGACACCTGTGGTCCTCTGTTCTCCGTGCCCTGACTCCCCTGCCCACACCTCCAGAGTCCACTGCATCTCCAGACTGCAGTGTCCTATGGGTCTCCTCAGCCCCCAGGTGCCCATCCACACACAGCGAGCAGAAGGGGCTCCCTGAAACCCAGCTGCCACCTTAGCAACCCCCAGACTTGAGCCAGGCTTACACCTGCTTCTGTGCACAGCCCACCGGGAGAGCTCTCCACACGGTTACCTGCCACGGGTCCCTCCCAGCAGGATGCACGCTGTACTTCCTGCCCTGCATCAGCTCCCCCTATTGCCTCTGTCACCCGGAAAGCACCCCCAAGCCTTTAGTTCTACCCAGTGTCAGAGCCATTGCCCTTTGCCACATCTCCCCGCCCCCCAGATAGCGTCCCCTGCTGTTCCTGCCCTCACTGTTTGCTTGTCAAGACTGAGAACCTATAGCAGGGCAGGTGTCCTGCTCTGTGCGACTTGGCTCATGTGTCCCCCTCTGTGGACCTCCTCGGGCATTTTGGGGCCCAGTGCCCATGCACTGAGCGTGGCTGGCCCAAGAGGCAGTGGCCTAGGCACTCCTCTCAACCCTGTGTCAGCACCACCAGACCAGCAGGGAGAGCTGCAGCTCACGGCGTCAGGCATGGCCCCCTCCAGGGCGGGTTCTGGGCACAGGTGAAGTCGGGAGCTTCGCCTTGCCCAGTCGTAGTCAGTGCACTCTGTCCCTCCCGGATTCCAGTGAGCCTGGTGGTGCAGTGGGTGGATGTCACACGGCTGGAGAAGAATGCTACGCTGCTCTTCCCTGAGAGCATCCGTGTGGACACCAGGGACAAGGAGCTCTTCTTCTCCATGTTTCTCAATATCAGCGAGACCTTCAAGCTCATGGAGCAGCTGGCCAACCTGGCCATGCGGCAGCTGCTGGACAGCGAGGGCTTCCTGGAGGACAAGGCTTTGCCCAGGCCCATCCGACCGCACAGGAACATCTCAGCTCTGAAGCGGTGCGTGACCCTGGGGGGGAGGTGGGGGTGCCTAGGCCGGGTCTGATGGCCCTTCCTGGAGCCCACTGTGTGGTGATGTGCGAGCCTAGCGTGTGTGTGTGTGTTCCTGGGCTCCCCACTGTGGAAGGAGGCAGGTGAATGGTTGCAGCAGCAGCCTGGGCGGGGTGGAGTACGCCGAAAGGCTAATGATGGCCTGCGAGTCCTGCTGCCGTGGAGCAGGCACCCTGCCTTGTAGTAGGAAGGTGCTCTTCGCATCCTGTCTCAGGATGCGACTTATTTATTGTGTCAGACCGGGACATTGAGTCGCAGGGAGCCAGGCAGTGCGGGGCCTAGGGGAGCACCTGTCAGGAGGTGGGGAGGCTACCTCTGTAAGGCTCAGTGAATGTGGGCTCGGTGCAAAGCCTCCACCCGCCATGGTACACCATCTCCTCAAGACTCTCGAGGGACCCTGACAGCCAGGGGCCGGCCCAGGAGTGAAGCCAGCAGGAGACAGGCCATGCGCAGGCCTGAGGTCACTGCTATGCGGGCCGAGGGGTTGGTAGAGTAGATTATGGTGGCCGGCCCCTCTAGATGGCTTGTCTGCCCTCAAGGCGTCAGGTTCATAGGAACCCCAGAAGGCTAGCGGAGAACTCAGCCAGGGTGGGCACTGCTGGATTCACACTTGCGTTGTACCCACAGATTGTGCTGTCGACCTGTGGTGCACCTTCAGGACCAGAATGCTGTGTGAGGGTCTCAGTGTCCTATGTGGTAGCTTTTAGGGCCTTCTAGAGAGAAGCCAAGCAGGGCTGGAACTTGGTCCTACCCAGTGGCCTCCCTTGAGGTGCACGGTCAGGCCCAGGTGGGGCCAGGGCAGCCCAGGCAGGCAGGGGCTCCCCTAGGACAAGAGTGCAAACTGCTTAGAGACTAAGTACTGGCTGCAACCCAGAACCCACTTATTTATTGCGAAGTGCCAATGCTGCAGTTAAACTGGAATACTGAGGTTTCAGTTTAGAAAAAAACGACTCTGCATTAACGTTTTTGAACACAGAACATGCAGTTCACCACCACTGCCCTAGGAAGGCGTGTCTGTGTGGACAGAGCTGCACAGGGACAAGGGGCCAGGCCACCCACCACAGCATCACACAGACACCCACTTCTGCTCTTCCCCAGCGGGAGCGCTCGTCTGGATTCCAGGCTGGAATTTGCTCTTCCCAATGTGAAGCAGCAGCCTCAGGGCCCCTGGCTTGTGGGGTGTGAGCCATGAGGGGTGCAGGACCTGGAACCACTGGGCACGGCCTGCCCTTCAGTGCCAGGTGGACGTTGTGGGCTGCCAGGTCAGCCTCTGTGTTCTTGCCAGGCGGTCAGGTCTCCAGGCACAGTATGTGCTGCCACTTCCCCGCTGGTCCTGTGCATGTCCCATGTCTTGATCATTTCACATGCATCTTTCGTTGAACTCAAATCCCTGGACACAACCTGCTCACTGGAGGACCCCAGGATCCTGAAGTCAGTGTGGAAATGGAGGCCTCCTCGAGGGCATGCTGACTCCGACACGTATGTCCCTTCCCACCTTGCTTCCTCAGAGACTTGGATGCCCGAGCCAAGAACGAGTGCTATCGGGCCACATTCCGGCTGCCCAGGGACGAACGGCTGGACGGTCACACGAGCTGTACCCTGTGGACGCCATTCAACAAGCTGCACAACCCTGGCCAGATGTTCATCTCCAACAACTACATCTGCTTCGCCAGCAAGGAAGAGGACGCATGCCACCTCATCATCCCTCTGAGGGAGGTGAGAAGTGCTGGGGCGGGCCTTGGCTCAGCCCTGCCAGGCCCAGGGCTCCAGATTTCACTCCTGAGTGCGTCTCACACACCCTTCCTGGGCAGCAGTGCCTTTCCGTTCTTTGGTGCAGGTGGGAGCAGGAACTGCCCTGACTCTGAGCTCAGCCTCACCAGGATGCCCCAGGAGTACTCCTCCAGAACCGTCCCTTCCTCTCCACGGCCTCCACCTGGGACACCCACGTCCACTTGGGCCATCAGGACAGTCCACACAGTGACACATCCTCTCACAGCACCCAGGGAGTCCACAGCATCAGTCTGGGCCCAGCAAGACTCTGCCTAGGGCCCTCCAGTAGGGAATAGTCACCAGCCGCCTTCTGGGGCCTGAGCCTTCCACTCGTATACACCCCAACATGGCCGTGCACACAGTCACCGCAGGGACATGTCACATGCACACATATATGCTTGCACATAGGTTCACACACCATACACATTCACACCCATCAATACTGTGCATGCATACATAGCCCATGCATGTGCACACAGCATGCATCCACCCTGCTCCGTCTGCCCCAGCACCTCCAGCCTCTCTGCCTGCATCTCGGTGGGCTCAGAGCTGAGCTCTGGGACAGGCTGTCTGGAAGTTCTCCCTCAGGACAGGTGCGTTGGGAGGCCTTGCAGTGAGGGCTGCTCACAGCTTTTAAGAAGAGGCAGTGGCCACCCTCCCTTTGAGAAGCCAGCAGGACCCATAGCCAGTCCAAGCACTTGACATCACCTCCTCTTAGAGGCCTGCAAGGCCAGTGTAGTCACTGCCAGCAGACAAGACATGCAAGTCCCTCATCAGCGTCACCTAGGAGGTGACAGTCCGGATGTGAATCCATGTTCCGCCTTGCATGCTGTGCCACTGTGGCCCTCTCACAGCCACAAAGGTGGGGGAGCCCCCACGCAGATGCCCAAGCCTGTGTTTTTGCCTTCTCAGGTGACCATTGTTGAAAAGGCCGATAGCTCCAGTGTCCTGCCCAGCCCTCTCTCCATCAGCACCAAGAGTAAAATGACCTTTCTGTTTGCCAACCTGAAAGACCGTGACTTCCTAGTGCAGAGGATCTCGGACTTCCTCCAGAAGACCCCCTCCAAACAGCAAGGGGGCAGCCTCGCAGGAGGGAGAGCCAGCACTGTGGACCCAGCCCCAGAGGTGAGGGCGTCCTGCTGGCCTGGTGGGGGGGCGGGGGGCAGTGGCCTCGCTGTGCTGCCTGCAGGGCTGGGCTGGAGCTGTGTAGGGGACGGAGAACTGCATTCCGGGGCACTAGCCACTCGCACCCCTGCACAACAGCATCCTTCCTCTTCCTCACCCACACTTGCCTGACCAGCCCCCTCCTGCTGCCCCTGAGGACCTTCTTCCCTGTGGATAGCAAAGTTGGGTCACTGCTGTGGCCTCTGCCTTGCTGGCCTTTCAGTCTGAGCTTCTGACAGGGAGACTTCTTGTTTTCAGGGCTAGGGCTGGAGCTCAGGGACTTGCATTCTTCCACTGAGCTATAGCCCCAGCCAAAACTCCTTTCAGACATAGCTGTAGCGTCATTATATACAACAGATTTAATAATCATTCCTCAGTATCAGCTGTGCCTCAGTAACTATGGGAGATTGGATCCAGGACCCCCACAATACCAAAATCCAATACCAAAACCAAAATCCATGGGTGCTCACGTCTTCCTGCCTGTCTGGACTTCTCCGGATGACTTACACACCTAACACAACACAAGTAACTGCTGTGTGCATAGCTGTATTCTGAGGCTTAGGGAACAGTGACAGGGAAAATCTATGCACGCTCCTTATAGAGGCAGTTTTCTTCCTCTGCACATTTTCTCCGTGTGTTTGGTTGAATCCATGGTATAGAGAACTGTTTATATTTAACTTTCCCCAAGCCCAGGTGTACTTTTCAGTTTGATCATTTGATCCCAGGTGCTGGGATTATGAGGGCATGCGAGCTTTATAAAGTGGTTTAAAAGGTACACTTTTATTTAGTTAATAAAGCAATCGATAAGCTCATTCTACTACCCATACATCTATCTGTTTTTTGTTTTGTTTTTTGGGACAGGGTCTCGCTGTATAGTTCAGGCTGACCTTGAACTCACTACGTAGCCCAGGTTGGCCTTGCACTTACAGCAATCCTGCCTCCACCTCCCAGTTGCTGAGATTAAGGCATACATGGAAGGCCGAAGCAGAAGGATCACCACAAGTTCAAGGCCAGCCTGGGCTACAAAATGAGTTCAAAGCTAGCCTGAATTATATAGTGAGACCCAGTCTTAAAAAAAAAATTTTTTTTAATTAAAAAAAATGTAAATAAACCACTTTAAAGGAAGGAGGAGGAAAGGAGACAGAAAAGTACTACTGGCTATTTCCATGTTGTTTATAGTAGCAAACTGGTATTGTCTTAAAAGGAGGGAACTAAAGGATCAATGGAAAGGTACTAACCTAAATCTAACTATTAAAATAAAAATATATCCTGGGCATGGTGGTGCACACCTGTGACCCCAGCACTTGGGAGGCTGAGGCAAGAGGATCCCTGTGAGTTCGAGGCCAGCCTGGTATAGTGAGACCTTGTGTCAAAACAAACAAAACTATATATGTATGTGTGTGTGTGTGTGTATATATATATATATATACACACACACACACACACACACACATACATGCTTTCTGACAGAAAATAATTGAGAGAGGGCAGAAGGGTGCAGTGAGTTTAGGGTAGCTCCTTCAAGAAGTTTTGAGCTCAGGTCGGCAGAGAAGAGCAGGGCCACCCTCTTGTGGGGGATATGAGCTTTCTGTCACTGGGACTGCATACCTGAGGTCATCGTTTGCTTGCAGGGAGGAAGCATGTCTGTGTAGCCTGTGGCCACTTGGGCCTTCTCTTGGCTCTGTCAGCAGGACACCGTGGCAGGAGCACATGGTGGAGCCCAGCTCTGTGCGTCCTGTGGCCCGGAGTGAGGGAGGGGACTGGGTCCCAGGGCCCCATCGAGGGCACCTCCCTGGCCTCCCCTCTGCCCCGATCCCACCTGCTCAGGCCCCACCACCACCCCACACTGCCATGTTGGGGCTAGGCCTTGAGCACTGAGCCCCTGAGGATGCGAGCCAGGGTTAGCTTGCTCCTTAGAGCCGCCTTCCGCGTGAACAACATCCAGCTGAGCACCGGGAACGGTTTTAAGGGTGCTGGCCGCAAGACTGCAGCTGAGAGGAAGGAGGCCAGAGGAGAGGGGAGGGCTGCTGGAGAGAGGCCCAGAGAGGAGCGGGTGCAGCCAGGGCAGCGGCGGAGAAGCTCAGGCCCCTGTGACTGGGCACGGGCAGGCGGACCGCCTGTGGAGGCCTCAGTTGCTTCTGCTTCTGCTCTGCTTGCCTAGTGAAAGAGGAAACAGGAAATGAGAATGGGCAAGTGGTTTTTGAAGTTTTTTCTGGATAAATATGTGAAATGGCTATTGAGGCAGGAGAAGGGCCTGACTAGGAAAACAGGATCCTGGGCATCAGTGTGCGCCCACCTGAGGTGTAACCCAGTGGGGCCTCTGCAAAGAGCAGCCTGGGCCCTCGGGCTTGGTCTTCAGCTCACAGAAAGCACGTCCCTGGGAGCATGTCACTCAGGAAGCACATTCCTGGAGTCTGGATACTTTGCTGGCACTGAGATTTCTGATCCTCTAAGATACTTTGTATTGCCTGAGAGCCTGTTTGTGTCACCGACCCTTTTATTTTCAGGGTGGAGGGGCACTAGGAGTGAACCCAGGCCTTGCACACGCGAGGGCAGTGCTCTGCCCCCGGGGATGTGTCTCCACCTCCAAGTCCTCAGGGAGCTCCAGCAGGAAGCAGCATCACAGTTAGGCACCATTGTCTATGCCAGGGGCCTGCCTGCTGGATTCCAGCATCCTGTTATGAAGTATGTTTAGTACCGGTGTGGTGGCTTACACCTGTAATCCCAGTGCTCAGGAGGCTGAGGCAGGAGGATTACTGCGGAGTTCAATGCCAGCCTGAACTGTAGCAAGACCCTGTCTTAAAAAACTAAAAAAGTAAAACTTATAAAAGTATGTTTTTTTGTGTTTGTTTTTTGTTTTGTCTTTTTGAGACAGGGTCTTGCTATGCAGTTCAGGCTGGCCTTGAGCTCACTTTGTATCCCAGGCTGGCCTTGAACTCACAGCAATTCTCCTCTCTCAGCCTCTTGAGTGCTGGGACATGTGCATCACCACACCCGGCCTAAAAGTATGTTTAAAAGGGCCCCAAATCCACTTCTAAAATACCAGTCCAGGGCAGCATGGTAGACAGTGGGTGGAAACCAGCGGCGCTCCCTATCTTTCTTTCTTACCGAGAGCAGTGGTGTGAGGGCGGGCTGTAACACCTGTACAATGTGAAGAGCGGTTTGCTAAGTTCTGCTGTAACACCTGTACAATGTGAAGAGCGGTTT